GGGCAGTTCACATTCTGCTGATGTTGACCATCAGCAGTCGAACCTTGTTAGAATCCCTCTCTTAAGGTTTATGGTAAAGCAACAGGGTTTAGTGGGAGACTCCCCTTTGGAGTCAAAATTCCACAATTAAAGTTCACAAAGTTTGTGCATCAGCAAACAAACCTTGTGCCACATCAGCAGGATTTTTGGTGCAACGTGAACTGCCCTAATAGCTTTTTAACCTATTTGAAATTTATTTCCCCCTGAAGGGATCTTTTGATATACATATACTTTCCCGTGTACATCTTCTGTCCCAGGAGTCCTACAAGTTTTTATCCTTTTGACAAGTTTTTATAACGGAAGTTAGAAGTGCCATCACCAAGATGGAAGATGTTGGTATTAAGCTCCCAGAAGACATCATCACCTACAATCTCCTCCTCCGACACCTTCCGAGTTTGATTGACAACATTAAACAAAGCATCAGCCATTCCCAGAACAGTGAAGAAATCAAACCCGATTTGTTGCTTGATCATCTTGAAATCCACTTGAGCAAGCTGAAGTCACTCCTGCCGGCCAATCGGAATCCATTTCCGTGTCAATGTTCACAAAGGAAGATCCTGGCTGTATCCCTGGGCATCATAACCCCTTCTCTAAATCTCACCCCAAGGGAGATCCTTACTATGGTGGATGCAAACATTCAATTCGTTGACGCGTTTCCACTAGTATCCAAGGCGTACACTTTCAAAACACTCACTCATGCTATCAACCTTGAAGCAAAAAGGCTTGGATATTTTCCCTCCGTCATACACTCTAAATGAGGGACAGAATTCAAGAGCTTTGAACTTGACCAATACTGCCAAGAAAATGTGATAAGGCAGAGTTTCTCCAATGCTCATACTCCTCAATAGAATGGATTAGCGGGACAATTCAATTGAACCATTCTGGGATCTCTTAGGATGATACTCCTTGACTCAGGTTTCAAGGCCACACTGTGTAACAAAGTCCTCAGCGCGTGTACACTTACTCTAAACCAGATTCCTACCCATAGAAGCAAGAAATCTCTGTATGAACTTTTCAAAGGAAAAACTGTTCCTCTCAATTTCTTCAAACCAATCGGAAACCCTCTTGTTGTCCTTTCAAACAATAAGAAATCCAAGCTGGATGCCAGGGGTGATTTTGGAAGGCTTCTTGGATTTAATGTTGATCTGAAATCCTACAAGATTCAACTATCAGATGGAAGGTTTGTTGACTCGAAGAGCGTGCAATTTCTTGACTTCAATACCAACATACCAAATTTCCTCAATCTAACTGACCTAATTGAAGAGCAGCGGAAAGAACAGCCAGAGCAAGCACCTCA